GTATTTTTAGTAGAGACGGGGTTTCACCATGTTGACCAGGATGGTCTCGATCTCTTGACTTCGTGATCCACCCGCCTCGGCCTCCCACAGTGCTGGGATTACAGGCGTGAGCCACTGCGCCCGGCCCGCCTGGCCAATTTTTATAGTTTTTGCAGGTATGGGGTTTTGTGATGTTGCACAGCCTGGCCTCAAACCCGAGCTCAAGGGATCCACCTGCCTTGGCCTCCCAAAGTGTGAGGATCACAGACAGGAGCCACTGTGCCTGACTGAAATCTCAAGGTTTTTGTTTTTGTTTTTTTTTGACAGTCTCTCTCTGTCACCCAGGCTGGAGTGCAGTGGTGCAGCCTCGGCTCACTGCAACCGCTGCCTCCCGGGTTCAGGTGATTCTCTTGCCTCAGCCGCCATAGTAGCTGGGACTACAGGTGCCGCCACCATGCCCAGCTGATTTTTGTATTTTTAGTAGAGGTGGGGTTTCACCATATTGGCCAGGCTGGTCTTGAACTCCTGACCTCATGATCTTCCCGCCTGAGCCTTCCAAAGTGCTGGGATTACAGTTGTGAGCCACCCTGCTCAGCCTTGAAATCTCAACTTTTAACGACCCGTGGTCCGCAGTGGAGGTGCCCGGCGGTGCCCATGGCCTGTTGTCTGCACTGGCCCAAAATGAAAGATGATCTTTTGCCCGTGGGGCCAGGCTTGCCTGACCCTCTGTCCCCATTTCCCTTAGAGAAATCGTGGGCTCCTCAGTTCTTGTGGCGCCACTGGTGGGGGCCGACCTTGACCCCCCCCACCCCACTGTGAGCACGGAGGGTCCCCTCGCCAGGCAGACCACACTGTGAAGCCTTTCAGTGAGGAGAGAAAAGCCCCTTAAAAGTTGATAATCCGCAGACGTGCAGCTCGTGGTCTCAGAGGAAGGCGTTTCCCGTGCGCTCTGGCGCCCTGGAGCTTCTCCCTGAGCTGATGCCCATGCCGGCCTGGTGGCTGATTACCAGCTGACGCCGAAGAGCGCTCTGGGTCTGAGGGAGCTGCTTTCCCTGTGTGGCGGGCGGGTGGGCAGGGCTCCGTGCTTCTTTGCCATTTTTCCAGGGCCTGGGGGGTGTCAGGCTGTCTGGGTTAGAGGGTGTAGGGGGTGGGCAGAGCCAGGAGCTACACCTGAGCCCCCCCTGGGGCAGCTCGTGGCTGTGGCCCAGGGTACCCCGGAGCCTTGGTGGGTGACCAGAGGGTGGGGTCCTCCTGGTTGTTTTCTGGAGTGGGTGTGGGGGCTGCAGCGTGGGTGCTGGGTATCCCTACCTGGGTGCCAGGCTCGGCTTGTTTTAAAGGCGCCTGGGGATGGGAACAAGGAGCCATGTCCTTCCTGCTCCCGGGGGTTAGGCCCAGCCTCCCAGGGCTGCCCATTTTCCTGCCTGTCGGGCAGAGTTGGAGGTGCAGCCTGCCCTGTTTGGAGTCACAGGGAAGCACATTGCCAGTGGGTCACACAGAACAGTCGGGTGTCCTGCCTGCGAGGTGGGGTCTGGTAGCCCTGGGCAGGGGTCTCCTTGGCCAAGGCACCTGCCCACCCCTCTGCCCGAAGCCTGGAGTGAGGGGTATGGGGTCTGCCTTTCCCGACCCATGCTGGATGCTGGTCACATCTCGGGCTCACCTGCGGGGTCCAGCGGGGCTGGTGCAGTGTGGGAAATTTGCCGTGCTCCCAGAGTTCTCCACGACCTTTGTGGACACGGGCCTGGGAGGCCTCACCACCTTCCCCAGGGGACACGGGCCCGGGAGGTCTCACTACCTTCCCCAGGGGACAGGGGCCCGGGAGGCCTCACCACCTTCCCCAGGGGACACGGGCCAGGAGGCCTCACCACCTTCCCCAGGGGACAGGGGCCAGGAGGCCTCACCACCTTCCCCAGGGGACACGGGCCAGGAGGCCTCACCACCTTCCCCAGGGGACAGGGGCCAGGAGGCCTCACCACCTTCCCCAGGGGACACGGGCCAGGAGGCCTCACCACCTTCCCCAGGGGACACGGGCCCGGGAGGCCTCACCACCTTCCCCAGGGGACACGGGCCTGGGAGGCCTCACCACCTTCCCCAGGACACATGGGCCAGGAGGCTTCACCAGCGTGCTCTGGAGATGTTAGAGTCGGCTTCTGAGGGCCTGGCGGGCAAGGGGGCAGCCAGGGTCCCTGGCAGGTTCCCAAGCATCATCCCCATCCCAGCCTGGTCTCTGGTGGCTCTGCCTGTGGATGTGGCCTGGGGCTGGGGTCTCAGTGTGGCTGCCCTTGTGTCTGGCAAATGGGGGGCGGTCTGGAGTGTTCCAAGCTGTCCATCAGGGCTGGCACATTGAACTTCTTGTTAATTTGGGGGCTACTCTTGGCCTCAGCCCGGACCAGTGGCTGGGGGTTCTTCCAGCCCCATCTGGCTACCCCCTTCCCCCAGCCACTGGGCCCAAGGGGCCTATTGCCTTGACCTGGGGTCACCTGACCCAGGCTGTAACTCAGGGCCCTGCCTTTCCAGCCAGGCCCGCCAGCATCCCCAGGACCCTGGGCTGGGCTGTGAGGGCAGCGCACCGGCAGGGCCTGGGTGAGGAGTTGAGGGAAGGGGCTGGGCTCTGTCCATGGCTGGTGGCGGCAGCTACCGGGGAGCCCTTGGACACTTGCTCCTGGTGGCTGGCTGCAGAGGCAGGTGCGGGAGGCCAGTTGAATTCAGCTGGGAGGGAGGGTGAGGAGTGAGCTGTCTTCACGTTCCCAGCATGAGGCGGACCTTTGGGGAAGGGGGGAGGGCCAGGGTGGGGTCTGGGGAGGGGAGGCAAGGAGTGGAGGTGGAGGTGAGGGGGTCTCCGCCTCATCTCCGCCACGGCAGCTCATCCGAGTGTGAGCCCGTGAGCCCTCCCCTTGGAGCCCGGGAGGTCTGGGGAGGAGCGGAGGGGAGGAGGGGAGGGGAGGATTTATCTGGCGGTGGAGTGAGCAGGCTGGAGGGTTGCGGCACTGGGACCTGAGCGGGGCCGTCGCGCTGCAGATCTGGGCACATCCCTGCAGACATGCAGCAGCACAGGCCGGACGTGCCCCTGGGCCTCGTCCCTGCTCGGGGGGCTCTGAGCGCCGGCTGCCCCTAGGACTGCGTCCTGGCGCGGGGACTCGCCGCAGGACGGAGCCATGCGGCGCTGGGCCAGGGCCGTGGTCGTGGCCCACCTCTGGCTCGCTCTGCTCGGGGGTGTTGGGGCCCGGCGGGAGGCCAAGAGGACGCGGCAGCCCAGCCAGCGCGGGGATCCCCCCACCGCCACCGCCACTGCGTCTTCCTGCCAGGGGATGCCGGAGGCCCCTAAGGTAGGCGGCCTGGACGCATGTGGGTGCGGCCGTCGGGGGACTTGTGGTCGCTTGGAGCTTCGGCTGTAGGCTGTGGTCCCCCCTGAGCAGGCCCTGTCGCTCCTCCAGGCCTTGGCCATGGGTCCTGTCGTGGGGTCTGCTGCAGCCCGCCCTGCCAGCCTCTGGGAAGCCCTCTCCTCCCCTGCGGCCAGGACCTGGCCGCCCGCTGTCTGGGGTGGGTTGGCGAAGGGGGCTTCCCGCAGGGGTTGGGGGCTGCAGTTGGCCGTTTGAGGCCTGGGCCTGTCCTGAGCAACCTGTTGCTATTGGCTGTAATTGCTGATTTCGGGGTGGGGGTGAGGAGGGGTCGGCAGCTTGTTGGATGGTTCACCAGACCCCCTGAGAGCCCAGCGCCCCGTAACTCCTGTGGCTGGAGACACCACGGCAAGCCTGTCGCTTGTGCTTTTGGGGGTCCTGTGTAGCCAGCACCCCCTCTTGCATGCCCCAGCCTGGCCAGGCATCCTCGCAGAGGCAGAAGGCCCTGAGCCCACCCCAACCCTGGGCTTCCTCTCCTGCCAAGGGTCCCCCGATGGGTCTCCAGCTGCTGCCGTTGGACCCCAGGACTGGGAGGGGAGCCGCAGTCACCAGACCAACCCCTGCCTGCAGCCCTCACACCTTTGGTGCTGGCTTCCCTCCTCCCAAGGGTGCCTCTGCGGCAGCCAGCCCGGCTGCCTCCCAGCCCCCACGGCCCCATTTCCCAGATGGGCAGGCTGAGGAGGGTTGAGGCCTTGAGGCCGTGGCTCTGCCAGCTCAGGAAGAGTGGGCTGGTTCCCGGTGTGAGGGCCAGGCTGGCATTGCTGGCAGGGGTGGGGCGGTGGAGGGGTCCTCAGCACTCGGCCAGTCCCAGGGAAGGGAGGGGCGCCCCTGCCCAGGGCTGCTCCAGGCCTCCCTGGAAGGGTGTGGGCTACAGGTTTGTGCTCAGGCTGACCCTCCAGGTGTCCGGGGTGGGATGGTTCTCCTGCGGTCCGCCCTCCGCAGCCTCTGGCCCTCATTCTCCAGATAGGCTGATGCACGCGCCCTCCAGGGCACCGGGTCCTTCCAGCACGTTGCAGGCCGCCAGGAGAGCCAGCAGATAGGGGGCGCGTGAGAAGTGGGGGGTGCATTTGAATGGTCTTGGCTTGTTTTTCCCTAGGTGGGCCCGGTTCAGGGATGGGGACGTGCCCACCCTCCTGTCCCCCACGTTCCCATGGTAGAAGCCTGTCTGGGCCACTGGGAGGACCCCCTGCTGTGTCCACTCAGGAGGCCGAGGCCGTCTTCAGAACCTGGCCCTGCTGTGTTTGGGGCTAGGCCGAGCTCAGGATGGGACTCTGCTGTGGGCCAGGGTCCCTTGGCTCGCCCTGCCCTGGGGAGGGGCTCTCTCCCGGCCAGGCTGCGCACTTGCTGTTGGAGCCTGGCACTTGTCCGCTTACAGGCCAGGCTGCCCCAGCCCACACCCGCTTAACGCTCCGTCTGACTGTGGGGGGCTAGGCTGGCTTAAGAGGGGGTGATTGGAGAGGAGAGGGCAGCAGGCTCTTGGGGCAGCTCTGAACCCAAGGAGTGGGGTGAACTAGAAGGTACGGGGTCCTTGGAGGGAGGGTCCATGCCCCCTCCCCGCTGTGAGCCACTTGGCCTGGTGCCTCTGGGACTCCCAGTAAGGCCCGTGGAAAACTCTCTCCTGTCTTCCCCACAAGGCCCCATCCCTGCCCTAGCCAGGGCCAGTCGCCCGGCCGGGCTCAGGGCGTCAGGGTCCAGCTTGTCCACAGAAGCCCTGCGTGCTTGCCCTGCCAGTGCCCGGCATCGGGACAGCTTCTGAGGCCCCCATGGCGGCTGTTGGTCTCTCCTGCCGGCGATGGCTTGTGGCATCTTCCCTGTGTCTGCAGTGGGGCTCCCAGCTTTCCACAGGGCACAGCCTCAGTGCACTCGCCGCGTCCCGTCCCGTCCCGTCCCGTCCCTTCAGCCCTCCCAGGCCTCAGGACCTGAGTTCTCAGATGTCCGCAGGACATGGCTGAACTTTGTCCGACGGCCAGACGCCGGCGCGTTGAGGAAGCGGTGCCGAGGCCGGGACTCGAAGCCAGTGAGCCTGGACGGGGTGTGGTGCTGCCTCCCACGGGGTCCCACTGGGACCCTCACCGTTGTCTTCTGTCTCCCCCCAGCGGGGCCTCTTGGGCCCCCCAGGACCTCCAGATGCAGAAATGACCCAGAGACCCTGCTCTGGGAGTTTCAGGAGATGCTGAAAGGTCAGCCGCCTCAAACTGCCCAGGGTCCGGAGGTGCCTGTGCCCTCCTCCCCGCAGAGGCCATGGAGCACCGGTTCTCGGGGCTGCCGGACCCCGTGTGGCCCCCGGGGGTGGGCCCAAGGCTGGTGGGCGAGGCCTTTCCTGCTGGCTGCAGGGCCCCCGCCGGGTGGACAGGCGGACTCTGGTGGAGCTGGGTGGTTTTCAGGCTGTGGGTGGGGCCTGGGGCCCAGCCCGGTCCAGAGTCAGGGAGCTGGGTGGGGCCCCAGGTGGGTCGGAGGTCTGGAGGGGGCTTGGAGGGCAAGGGTCTGCCTCGGGTCAGGGTTGGGAGGCCCTGGGGTCCCAGACCACACCTTATGCCCAGGCCAAGCAGGGGGTTCCTCCTGGGTGTGGGCTGGAGGGTCCACCTGTTGGCACCCACAGTGAGAGTGAGGGTCCTGGGGAGGCCTGCTCCAGTGAGGGGCTGTCGGCTGCAGGCACCTTCCCCAGGAGGGGTCTGTGGGGTGCCAGCTGCTCACCCGCTGCCCTCAGCCTGCCACCCAAGGCGCCTTCCTGCAAGGCTCCCATCTGAGTCTGGCCTCGGGTCGGTTCACGGCACCTGCGTCCGGCATCTTCCAGTTCTATGCTTGCCTGCACGTGGTGAGCCGGATGGGGCCGAGCTTCCCGGGGGTGCCTGGCCCTGGGCACGGGTCCCCTTAGAGAGCTGCCCCCTGCCCACGGGGGCCTTGGACTGGGCATGGGGGTCCCTGCTACACTCTGGGCCTCAGGCCCACCCTCCCCAGCCCCAGCAGCCACTCCTGGGCCTGTCCTGGGCCGGGTGCCCCAAAGCCCCTCCCCTCGGCCCCCACCCCCACCCCCCATGCACCACCCTCCCCAGGGCTGTCTCCGAAGACCACAGTGAGCTGCAGGGCAAGGCCCGGCCGCAGGTCTGGGGTGCCGTGCGTGTCGTCTGCCTCGAGTCTCTGTGCCAGCGCCACAGGTGAGTGACCTCAGCCCCCGCTCCAGGCACAGCCCTGGAGACCACCTTGGGCTGGGGGTCACAGGCCCGCAGGGTCTCTGGGCACTGGGGTGGGTCTTGGCCCCATGGACCTGCAACGCCTCAGCCTGGCCATGCGGGGCTGTGTTCAGGTCCCTGGAGACCATCTCAGGCCTGGAGAGCAACAGCAAGGTCTTCACAGCACAGGTGCAGGGTCTGCTGCAGCTGCAGGTGAGGTGGGGACGGGAGCGTGAGGGTGGGCGGCGGGTGAGGGCGGGAGTCTGAGGATGGGCGGGCGTGTGAGCGCGGGGACGTGAGGGCCAGAGTGTGAGGCTGGGCCAGGTGTGAGAAAGAGGGTTTGGGAGCGCTCGGGATGCAGAGTTCTGGGGCCTCAGCACCTCCTAGCACAGGGCAGGAGGGCAGACGTTGCCCGTCAAGGGGCTGGGGTGTGGCTGCCCACCATGGTGACGTCCCCGTGCCTCCCACTGGCTGTCCTCACCGTCCAGGCGGGCTCCAGCTTCTCTGGACTGCTCCCGGGCACGTGAGGGCGCCGAGGGGGGCTGGGCGAGGAGCTGCCACCAGAGTTTGGGGATCTTCCCGTGGGTGCCTGTGGTCATCACAATAAAGAGCCGCCACGCTGGCTGCCACCCTCGCATGCTGCGTGGATGTTTCCGTGGGGGTGGAGGCCGGGCTGCCGAGGTCTTGGGAGGGGCCGGGTGGGGGCAGAAGGGTGCTGCTCACGAAAAGCCCCGAAGCTGGGACTCTGGGCCACAGAACCTCGGGGCAGACTGCGCGGCCTGGGGTGGCGGTGGTGGGAGGCTGGGCCCTGCAGGCGCCGCGTTGGCCCTGAGGATGGGGACCACTGTCCGCGGAGGCCCTGCTCAGCCTGTCCACGGGCCTGTCCAGCCTTTGGGGGCCCTGAAAGCTGCCAGGTTGGGACATAGCACAGCTCTGGGCCCTCGGGAGGCCTGCATCCTGGGGGGGGATGTGGGGGCCTCTGTGAGGGAGGGCATGCAGGCCACACCCAGGACCGTGTGGTCATATGTGCTGGTCGCCACAGGTGTGCGGAGCTGAAGGGCACCCCTGTGGGCTCAGGTTGGCCCAGACCATGCAGTGCCCTGGGCACCCAGGTGGAGCAGGGGTGGGACAAGCAGGCTTCTCCCCGCCTGGCCCAGGGGCAGCCACACCCTAAGGACCAGCCTCCCAGACGCCAGAATTGCCCATGGAGGGTTGGTGGGCCCCGCGTGCGACTCCCATGCGGCTGCCTCCTGGCAGGTCCTGTGGATTTGGGTCCCGTCCCCCGCCCACCCCATTTTGGCTCTGGCAAACCCAGACCAGAGAGCAAATTGGCCTCAGGATGTCAGGGCCTCTGCTGAGCTGCAGAGACGTCACCTCAGGACCCCTGGTGGGTGGTGCGGTTGGGGAGGTTGGAGGAGGCTGGCGTCCACGGCTGTTACCCCTCCCCTGGGACGTGGACCTGCCTGGGCTGGCACCTGAGCATCGAGGCAGGACAAGCAAGGTGTGTGGGTGGGCACCAAGCAGCAGGGGGTGGGCCTGGCTGCTGACCCATCCCACCTCTCTCCCTGGGGCCCCCAGGGTGGCATAGGGGCTGCAGCTGTCTGGAGGGCCTCTGCTTTACTTGCCCAGGCTGTGGCCACCGGTCTGGGGACGTCCAGCCAGGCAAGGGCTGGCGATGGGCACCACTCTGGGGTCCCATTCAGGAGGTGGGGTGGCGGGGAGGTCAACAGCTTTGGCACCACCTCAAGGGTCTCGAAGCCCTGGTGTGGGGTGCGGGATACCAGCCTTGATGCAAAAGCCCAGGCTTGGGGCTCCTCTCTGCTCTCAGCACCCCCTTGGTAGGTACGGTCTGCCCCTGGGACCCGGACCCGGAGCTCAGGTCTCTCCCCTCTGCAGCCCCTGCCCTGCTTGGCCACGGCGCTCCGCAGTTCCCCTCCAGAGAGCAGGGCTGCTGCCTGTTGCACGGGGGAAACAGAGGCTGTGCCCAGACGTCCCGGAGCTGGGTGGCAGGACGGCAGTGTTGGAGCCCTGAGGAGGCCCGGTGTGGCCTGCACTCTCCCAGTATGCGTGAGACCCAGGGCTGCAACACCCCTGTTTGCTTCAAGTTTTCAGTGGCTCTTCCCCTGCCCGGCTGGGCCTCGCTCACCCGTCCTGCCCTCTGCTCCCCAGCCCTGGGCGAGAGTGGGCTGGGACCAGGCTCCCCGGATCAGGCAGAGCCCAGCTGGGCCCTTCGGAGCACCACCCCGGCCTCACCATCTGGGAATGGGGGCCCTCCAGGTCCTTCAGCGGCAGCCTGTCCCTCACCCCACCCAGCCCCGGAGCGGGGAGCTGTGATGACAGATGGAGATGCTGAAAATGGGACCCAGGGCCCTGGAAAGCGAGAGGGAGACAAGAGACAAGGAGATGGGGAGGGGGGGCCGGGGCAGGGGTGGGGGCCGGGCAGGGGCTGAAGGAGGGGGGCTAGGGTGGGGGATGGGGTGGGGGCCGGATGGGGGCTGAAGGAGGGGGGATGGGCATCCTGGCGCCGGTGCCACCTGCCTGGCTTCTGTGAACTCCCTGGCCGGGGCTGGGCGCGTCGGAGGCTGCTGCTGTGGGCTCCCGGCCGTCCTGGGAGGGGCCATGCCCGGCCGGACCTGGAAGGTCCGAGGCCTCCTGTGGTCTGGAGGGTGATGAGGAGGTCCCAGCAGAGCCACACTTGCGACCCCGGGCTTCGCAGCATCGGGTGCTGTCTTGCACCCTGGCCAGCTGAGTTGAGGGGACATTGTGGCATCTGTAGCCCGGCTGGAGCCCCAATCCGGGGAGCGTCCCCGAGGCCACGCTGCACAAGCCCTCCAGCCTCATGCGCATGCAGGGCGAGCCCTTCCCTAGGGCCCCAGCTGCACCTTCCCGGCCCGCCCTGGCACGGCGGCCCCGGGGCTGCCTCGGTGAGGTCAGAAGCAGTATTCCCAGCCCATGCTGCTGTCCTGGTGTTAAACTCAGACAGAAATGTGGATGGCAGCTCAGGGCAGCTAGAAAGTCTCTTGGGGCCAGGAGCACTGGCCACCTCAAGGGAGGCAGCAGGAGCCAGGGAGAGGCGGTGGTGGGGGCTCCTGGCTGTGAGGAGGGCTGGGCCCAGCCCGGCCCTGTGCGTCAGGTGTGGACACCCTTGTCCATCCGTTCGTGGTGCCTCGAGGGCCCCACTGTTGGGCATGTGGGGGATACGGCCGCCCTGGCCTGGCCCCTGGGGGTGCCTGGGTATGGACCCTGGCACTGCAGCCAGGACAGGCAGGCGCTGTGGGACCCAGTTTTGGCATCTGACTTCGCCCCCTCTCCCCATCCCTGTTGCCCTGCTGGGAGGGGGTCTGCTCCAAGGGCCCCTGGGCTGCCCGCTGGCCTCTGCAGTAACCTCAGCCTGTTTCTGTGGCCTGTCCTGGGCCCCAGACCGCACCACAGATCCTGACCACTGTCACCTGAGTTTCGGGGCAAGCGTGGCCTGGGGGGTGTGGGGGACGTCTGGGGGCTGCCTGTGCTGCTTTTTAAGTATCTGTTTGCCCAGTGCTCAGTGTTGACCCAGGTCGAGAGTTGTGTGTCCCTGTGACTGGTGCATGGCCTCTGTGTCTTCGGGTCTGTGAGGGGCTCTGCCTTGGGGCCCGGACTCTCTGCAGAGTCAGCAGCTTGGCCCCCACGGAGCAAACCCAGGGCAGCTGGCCAGGGCCTTGGGGCCTGAGCCCTCAGCCTGATACTCAGTGCCCGGAGTGGCCGTGGGCAGAGTTCCTGGGGTCCAGGCCACAAAGCCTTGGTCCTGCCACGGAGCCTGTCACACCAGACAGTCAACAGGGGGCCCAAAGAGCTGTGATGGCCACCCCGGCATTTGGGGCTCCCCGAACTGGGTGAGGGGGTCCAGAGAGGGGCCTCCCACCCTCAGCTAGGGGCTGCTCAGCGAGCTGTCCTTAGGGGAAGCCCCTGGGAGGCTTCTTTCCTGCCTGCAGAGCGCTGCCCTGGGACCTGCCATGCCGGAGGCCGCTGAGGCTGGAGCCGGCGGCAGAGCTGGGGCTGGAGCCGGGGGCAGAGCTGGGGCTGGAGCCGGGGGCAGAGCTGGGACCTGTGGCTATAGCTCGCGGGCTGGGCTTGGCCAGTTTGCCCTTCAGACCACTCTGAGCTGTGGCAACCTCAGGGCCTGTCCCCCGGGGTCTCCCGTGGCCTGAGCCTGGAGCAGCAGCGTGTCTGGGAGCAGGGAACACGCCCGGACCTGCCTGTGCCTGCTGAGCCGCCGGCGTCTGACAGGTACACAGGTGGGCCTGGCAGCAGAGGCCTGGGGACAAAGGGTGTTTGTTTGGGAGGCCAGGGCAGTCCCCACTCTGGGGCAGTGACTCACGGGGCCTCGGCGTGATGACATCTGTATTGCAACACCGTGTGTCATGCACGTGACATGGGGCCTTCCACCCACCCCACGCCCACGGCCCTCACGTGGGGTGATGAAGCGTGACCACTGGCCGGGGCTGGAGGGCTGGGAAAACCCTGCCTTGGTCTCTGCAGGGAAGTATCTACAGACCCCTCAGCCCCCCGACCCGCCAGGCCTCTCCCTGCCACACGGGGGGTGGGTGGGGGGAGCAGGACACTCCTCCGCAGCAGGAGGCAGAGCCTCCGGACTCAGGCCTTAGGGTTAGGCACCTTTTAGACTGAGTTCCAGTGCCTGGGCCGGAAGGGCGGGGTGGGGCCGGTCTGCAGAGGCGGTGGACGGTGAGGCACCGTGACCCACCCGTCACCCAGTGGGGACTTGGGCCTGGCTCTGCCCATCACCACTCCCTCTCCATCCGAGGTGGGTGGCTGCGGGTGCAGAGCCCCCGGGGGAGGCTGGGCCTGCCGAGACCTTCAGACGCCTCCAGAGGGTGGGGCCGGGGCTTGAGTTTCCTTTTTTTTTTTTTTTTTTTTTTTTTTTTGAGACGGAGTTTCGCTCTTGTTACCCAGGCTGGAGTGCAATGGCGCGATCTTGGCTCACCGCAACCTCCGCCTCCTGGGTTCAGGCAATTCTCCTGCCTCAGCCTCCTGAATAGCTGGGATTACAGGCACGCGCCACCATGCCCAGCTGATTTTTTGTATTTTTAGTAGAGGCGGGGTTTCACCGTGTTGACCAGGATGGTCTCAATCTCCCGACCTCGTGATCCACCCGCCTCGGCCTCCCAAAGTGCTGGGATTACAGGCGTGAGCCACCGCGCCCAGGCCTTGAGTTTCCTTTTGTTTGGGTCACTGGGCTGGGTCAGGCCCCGGGTCCGTGGGGAGTGGAGGGGACCGCGGGCCTCCTGGTCCCCTATCCTGCCTGCCCAGCCAGCCCTGGAGGGTCCGAGGCTGCCTGTGGTGTTTGCTCTGCAGGATGAAGCTGAGGAGGTCCCAGCAGAGCCACACCTGCGACCCCTGGCTTCTCAGCAGCGGGTGCTGTCTTGCACCCCGGCCAGCTGAGTTGAGGGGGCTTTGCGGCATCGATGGCCCTTGTGGAGCAGGATGCCCCAGCGCCAGTCCAAGGAGAGGGCCCGAGGCCATACTGCACATCTCTCTGGGCAACTCCACCAGGGCAGAGGCCAAGGCTGGGAGGGGGAGGAATGCCTGCCCCTCCCACCTCCACCACCCTTCAGCCCCCTAGCTGCAGCCGCTCCTCGGACCCCTCATCCACCGTCTACCTCTGCTGCGAACCCCGAGGAGGGAGGCTCGGATCCTTGGGGAGGGAGGAGGGGGTGGGTCCCAGAGAGACCCTCTGAGAAGATGAGGCCCAGGACAGGGTGGGGCCAGATCTCGGTGCTTTTTCTGAGGTGGTTCTGACCACGCAGGCACGGTGCAGGGTGGTGGGCCTCCTGGGTGCTGCATGGACATCAGGACAGGGTCGGCAGGGAGGGTGCGGAGGGCAGGAAGGCCAGAGGGAGGGGCTGTGAGTTCTGGGGATGCGGAGGTCTGAGGGAGAGGAGTGTGGGCACGCAGAGGCCAGCTTGCTGGGGTGGCCTGCCTTCCAGCTCCTGGGCTGTGGGAGCATCCGGGGTGGAGACCCTCAAGGGGAGGCCCAGGGAGTGCAGGGAGACCCAGGGGTTTGGGCTGCGCCCCCTCTAAAACCTCCTCTTTGAGGGCCCCCGAGACTGGCCAGGCCTGTGGGATGGACAGGCCAATGGGGACACAGAAGTCTTTCCCCTCGGCCCACAGCGGGAGAGGGAGATGCCAGCTCACCCCAGAGCAGGAAACTAGGAGAAAGAGCCCCTCCCCGGCCCCACAGAGCCAGTCCGTGGAGCTGGAAACGTTTTCACTGGCTGTTGGCGGGCCCAGGAACAGGGCCTTTCGTGAACAAGGGGCTTCCTCTCCCCTCCGGGGCCTGCTCTGGGTGTGGAGGGCCAGGCCGCCCGTCTCTGTGGCCACCTGCTCCCCAGGGCTCCCAAGCCATCTGCTTGTCAGCTGGTCTCACGGTGGCATGGCTGGGGAGCCTAGGGCTGGCGGGGCAGCAGGAGGGCCATGCCCCCTAGATCCGAGGACTCTGAGACCAGGCTCGGCCAGGAAGAGGGTGGAAGAGTCTGGGGTTACCCAGGTGGCAGGGGCCGGACAGACAAAGGCCTGCCGGGCACGGGGTGTGTGCTGAGCCCCTGGAGGAGGAGATCTGGACCCGTCAGTGCTGGGTGTCTGCAGCGCCTGCCCACGTGGAGTACCGAACAGACCCGGGCACAGGGAGCTGGGCTGGCACCCGGGGCTGCTGGACGGGGCGGCGTCTCCCCTGGGAGACCTGGAGGTCGCCCTCCAGAAGTCCTGGGAAGAGACCTGTGGGCGGAGCCCCTCCCCCTCCTTGCCTGGGGGGTGAGTCGTCAAGCCTTGGCCTCAGAGGCGTCGACTGGGTCCCGGTTTCATGGCCACACAGCTGCCTTCTCTTTCTGATAGGGGTGCCAGTTACATGGCAGTAAGACCACCTCAGCCTCGGCTCAATGTGACTCCACCTGCGGAGGCCTGAATTCCAAACAAGGTCAGTCTGCAGCTGCTGTTAGGGCTTGGAACTCAGTCCAGAACAGGAGCCTCAACCCCACCATCCCAGCCAGGCACAGGGGGCAGGTGGAGGCCTCGAGGCCTCAGGGGTGGGGGTGCCCCCAGGTGCAAGCAGCGCTTTGCATCTTGGGGGCGACTGCCCAGGCCACAGGCCCTGTGGGTGCCCAGGGCCGGCCCAGAGAGCTGGAGCTGATGTCAGGGGGCAGCCTCCAGCGGGTGGGGGCAAAGGGGCAGGACCAGGGTCCCCAGGAGGACGGCAGAGGTGGGTGCTCTCCTCCTGAGGGATCCTGAAGGGACCAGAGCCCTCCCTCCTGGCTTGACCTGCCTTCCCTGCCGTCCACGCGCCTCCTGGGGGCTGTGCATGCGCAGCTGCTCCGTGCCTGTCCAGCCCCAACACTGTCCCCTCCATGGCAGGCTCTCGGGCCCCTGGAGATACATCGTGGAGCTCGGGAACAGTCAGCTGTCCTGTATCCCAAGTACCCACAGGGAATAGAACTCGATGACTTCCCGTCTCCCAAGGGCCTCCTGGTTCAGCCCTGGTTTCCGGGAACTGAGAACGTTGGTGGGTGGGGGGCTGCACATGCTCAGCCTGGGGCAGGGGGTGCCACGGCACGTCCACCGTCTAGAGGAGCCACGGGGCAGGGAGATGCCAGCGAGCAGGGAAGATCCACAGGGCAAGTTCGAGGTGAGGCCAGAGAGCTGCAGCTGCCCTGGCTCTGGAAGCCCCCAGTCCGCGCCCCAGGTCCAGGTCCGGCCGTCAGCCCACGTGTCCTCTGAACCCGTTCACCACCACACGGATGGGAGGGTCAGCCCAGGGCAGGCTTTGTTCTGATTTAAAATTTAATGTCTTAGGTTGAAAAACACTACATTTCCATTTTTGTAGGTCAGAAGTGGTGGCAAACGGGATTTTTACACTCCTTCTATGGGGGGGTTTGGGGCATTTGCACTGTGCGTTCCACGGGGCAACTCTGGGGAGGCACGAAGAGCTGGGCAGTGCAGGGCGAGGTGTGGAGGGCCAGCCCTTGGTTCAAATCCCGCTCTCTACTGTCCGTGAGGTCCTCAGCAATTCCAAACTTCAGAGGAGACATCCCAGTAACATTGGCTGGCAGGGATCTCGACACCCGTGATGGGCAGACCCTGGGTTCGTGTGGGACCCCCGTGGGAGGGGAGGGCCCCATCCTGCTCACACAGGCCGTCAGTCCCAGATTCAACGTGGCTCATTGGAGCTTGAACTCTTATGCCTGACCTAGGGACGCCTCTGGGGTCCGACCCGTGCCTCCTGGGGTGGGAGGATCACCGTGCACATCGCTGAGCACAGAGCACCCCCCACCCCATTCTTTCCTCCTTGAGACCACTGCTTCCTGCAAACAGAAAGAACCCGAACCTGCTCTGACCGTGACCCTAACGCTCCAGACTGGATCCCGCCCCAAAGTAGGACAGCAAAGGCCACAGCGGGGACCACACAGATTCTCCAGACACAAAACCCCAGTGGGACTCTGGGGCTCATGGTCACCCCTTGTCCTGGGGCCACTTTATTTTACTTTGGCAAGGACTACAGTGTTCACTTCTCTCAGTCAATGAGGCGGCTTCCCAGGACGCACGAAGGTGGTGAGAGGCGCGGGCCGGCTGCTCCGGTTCTCTTGAGGCAGAATTTGGGAAGCCTCGTGAGCACCCAAGGGTTCGATTGCTGGGACTCGGGCAAAGCAGCACCGGCTCTCTGCGGCCACGGGAAGCCTTAAAAGGAAAGTCTCTTCAGAAAGAAACAATGACGTGTAACCCGAAAAGACAAATGCCCAGTTTTAAAGTTCTCCTGCGTTTCTTTAAACACACGCGGAGCTGATGGTACAAGCGGTACAAACGCATTACCCACAAACGCCAAGTTCTGACATAAAAGTCTTTCCTTAAATCATGTAAAAAATACCGAGACCAGCACGCTGCCAACTTAATCTTACTTCGACACAAACTTACAGTAAATAAGTCACAAGTGAACACCGAGTTATATTTACCACGAAGTCACTGGACAGAGACAGAGACCAAAACACCATTAAAGCGAACCGAAGTGAAACCACTCTGTCTTAGACGCACACGGGAGAAACGCCACTGACGAGACGCAGAAGACGGAGTCCAGCGCGCCGGTCGGGGACGGCACGGGGTCAGCGGCTCAGGGTGCAGCCGGCCGGGCTCAGGCCCGCTGAGGTCCAGGAACGGGGGGCACCTGCCCCGGACACGGCGCGCTGTCCCGGCGACCCCCAGGGGGTCTCCCAAACGCGGGTCGAGACGCACGCAGCGACCACCGGCGTGGCCGCGGGACGGGGGCGCTGGGACCCAGGCGAGGCGCGCCCCCCGGCATCCGCCCCCCGGCGCAACGGGGTGAGGCGGGCGCCCAGAGGGCCGGGCGGCGTTGGCGGCTCAGGGGATGCCCTCCCTCCTCTGGCAGCACTGCGAGGGCGGCGCGGACCAGTCGTAGACGTAGGACAGGCGCAGCTGCACCTCGCGCTTGCACAGGCGGCCCTCCCGCGCCAGCGTCGCGTGCTTCTCCAGCATGTCCTCCAGGCTCTGCTTGTGCGTCACCAGGTACTGGTTGCTGCAGCCGCGGGAGCGGTACTCGGTGTCGAAGCGCGGGTCGTGCTCGCGCTGCACGTCCACCGGCGCCAGCCAGGCGCCCAAGGACACGTCCTCGCTGTGCCAGGCGCGCAGGTAGTCGCGGCTGAGGCGCAGGTAGCGCACCAGGTCGGCCGAGAGCACGTAGCCGCCGCCCAGCGCGTAGGGCAGGTAGTAGTCGCAGAGCTGCCAGGCGGCCTCGCGCCAGCGGCCCCCGGGCTTGACGCGCCCGCGGCCCGAGAAGAAGCCCCAGTAGAGGCGGCGGCGGCGCGCGGGGTCGCGGGCGCGCAGCTCCGCCAGCAGCGCGTCCAGCCGCGCGAAGGAGTCGTCGTCCGCCTTGAGCACGAACTCGAAGGCCACGTGCTCGTCCAGCCAGGCCAGCATGGCCAGCACCTTGGCCGTGAGGTTGTCGTAGGCGTCGCGCAGCGCGGGCAGCAGCAGCAGGTCCCCGTGCCGCGCCTGCTCGCGCTCCAGGGCGCGCCGCTCCTCGGCGCCCAGGCCGGCGGTGCCCACGGCGAAGCGCGCCCACACGTCGCCCGGGGCCCCGCGCCGCGCCAGCCACGTGCTGCGGACCACGCTGCGGCGCTCGGCGGCGCGGGGCGCGCTGGCCACCAGCACGGCCAGGAAGGCGGCGGCGCGCGCGGGCGCGGGGGGCTGGGGGCCGCGGCCCGGCGCCGCCCGGGAGTCCCCGGGCTCGGACGCGCAGCGCGCCAGGTAGAGCAGCGCCGCCCCGCACAGCACCAGCGCGCCCAGGCCCAGCGCCGCCCGCCGCCGCCACGCGCGCCGCAGCAGCTTCATGGCGCCCGCGCCGGGCCCGCGGCCCAGGCCGGGCGCGCGGATGCGCAGGCGCCGCCGGCTCGGGGCGGTGCGCGTGCGCACGGCGCTCCCGGGAGCGCGCCGGCGCCTTCCGAAGTCGCCCAGTCTCGCGGGCGCTCGGAGGCCGGTGACCAATCGGCGGCCGCGGCGGTGCCAGGAGCGGCCGTCACGTGGCCTCGCGCGCCCTTCTCATTGGTCGACCTCGGAGCGGCCCCGCGACCGCTTCCGCCCGAAGGAGAGATGGTGGTGCCGGCGTCGCGGCAGTGAGGTCGCGCCCGTTCGCACCGCCCCCGCCCGCAAGAAAGATGGCAGCGGCCTGAGCCAGGCCCGTTGGCGGCGTCACGGGCGCTTCGCTCCACTCCTCGGATCCCGGGTGCGGGGAGGCAGGCCGGTGAGTGAGGGGCCCCAGGCGGCCTCTGCAGGCCGCGGGGCCGAGGGTCCCCGCCGGCCGGACGGCGAGGGCGGGTCTGGAGGCCGTCGCCGCCTCCCGCCCTGGGCCGGGACACCGTCGGTCCGCTCGGGCTCGAGCCCCAGCGAGACTCCGCCGTCGCCGGGGCTCCTGGGGGCAGGGACGGGCCGACGACGCGGGTCTCCCCGGCCATCGGCACGTCGGGTCTTCTGTTGGCCGGAACCCACGGATGGCGCCGCGAAACGGAGGCCGAGGGGGGTCTGGCTGGACTCGCATGTATCCGCGGGGCGGCCTCGGACGAGCTGCCCGGCTTCCCTGCGCCCCGTTTCCGCCTCCGAACCGCGGACCGTCGTCCCCCGTTAGGCGGGTCTGGAGGTTTGCAGTCGGCGGTGCCCTTGGCGTCTGGCGCGGAGGCGGCGTGCGGAGCCCCGCGGAGCGCTCCGAATCGGTGCGCGCGCTTCGCCGCCAGAAGCAGCTTCGTGCCGCGGAGCCGAAGCCGGGGACGGCGAAGAGGTGCCGTGTCTGCCTGAGCCGCTTCCCACGTTCGCTTCGCGGGGGCCTGTTGGTTCCTTGCTGGGGACGGAGCCTTCCGGGGATGGCGACTCCGCAGGCGAAGCCTGAAATCCGTCTCGGGTGGGCGGGACGGGCCGGCTCCGCTGTGCTTCCCGCCTACGCTCGCCACGGGAGGAAGTTCCACGTGATGGACCCCCGATATTTGGAGTTATTTTTGGGTTACTTTCTAAACATTTCCTTATAGGAGACAGGGTCTCATTTTCTTGTTTTTGCTTTTTAGAGAGACGCAGTCTCGGCCGGGCGCGGTGGCTCACGCCTGTAATCCCAGCACTTTGGGAGGTCCAGGCAGGTGGATCACGAGGTCAGGAGTTCAAGACCAGCCTGCCCACCTGGCCAAGCTGTGAAACCCTGTCTCTACTAAAAATACCAAAAAAATAAATAAGTAAATAGCCGGGCGTGGTTGCGGGCGCCTGTAATCCCAGCTACTAGGGACGCCGAGGCAGGGGAATTGCTGGAACCCGGGAGCAGGAGCTTGCAGTGAGCTGAGGTCACGCCACTGCACTCCAGCCTGGGTGACAGAGCAAGACTCCGTATCAAAAACAAAAAAAGAAAAAGAAAAAAAGCTACCCAGTCTCACTGTGCTGCCCAGGCTAGTCTCACGGTCCTCCTGCCTCAAGTAAACTTCCCTGTAACTCATCGAGAGAATGTGGAATCGAGAGCTGGCTCTGTTCCTCTAGGAACAAGGTGCAGTCTCTTTGCACACAGCACGTTTTTCAACTGTAGTTGGTGGAATCAGCACCAGGAAGAGGTGTCTGGTGAGCTGGGACGACAGGGACAGAATTATGCCACCAGGAGGGAAGGAAAAAGCCCTGAGCCGTGTTAAGAAAATCAGGCAGGTGGCTAGGCACGGTGGCTCACACCTGTATTCCCAGCACTTTGGGTGGCCAAGGTGGAGGGATCACCTGAGGTCCGGAGTTCAAGACCAGCCTGACCCAACGTGGAGAAACCCCATCTCTATTACAAAAATTAGCTGGGCGTGGTGGTACATGCTTGTAATTCCAGCTACTTGGGAGGCTGAGGCAGGAGAATCACTTGAACCCGGGAGGGGGAGGTTTCGGTGAGCCGAGATCACGCTGTTACACTCCATCCTGGGCAACAAGAGTGAGACTCCATCTCAGAAAAAAAAAAAAAAAAAGACAAAGAAAATCAGGCCAGGTACTCATGGCTCACATCCATAGTCCCAGGACTTTGGGATGCTGAGGTGGGAGGATTGCTTGAGGTCGGGAGTGTGAGACCAGCCTGGCCAACAGGGTGAAACCATGTGGAGAGATGGAGTTGGAAACTCAGTGTCTGTAAAAAAGGGTAAAAAGAGCAAGTGCAGCGGCTCACGCCTGTAATCCCAGCACCTTGGGAGGCTGAGGCAAGAGGATCGCTTGAAGCTGGGAGTTTGAGACCAGCCTGGGCAGTACATCAAGACCTGTCCCTTCAAAAAATAAAATAATAATAAATTGGCCAGGTGTGGGGGTGCATGCCTGTGGTCCCAGCTGCTCGGGTGGCTGAGGCAGGAGGATCGCCTGAGCCCAGGGGTTGGAGATCTCGGTGAGCTGTGATCACCACCATACTCCAGCCTGGGCGACAGACCAAGACCCTGTTTCTAAAAAAAAAAAAAAAAAAAAAAAGAAAGATGCTATGTGTGGTCTGGAGCCTGTAAACCAAGGACGTGTTTCCTGTTGCGGAATGGATGTGCTCAGGGCACACGAAGTCTCACTAGTGACGTGTCTGTCTTCTCCGCAGACCGTGAGCTGCTCGCCCTGTGGGCTTCCACAGCCTGCTGCTGTCGTGGGGACACAGCCCTCTTCAGTGCCTGGAGCTTGGACTGGAGCCAGACCTCACATCCTCCTCTGCCCCTGCCCCTGCCCCTGCCCCTCCCAGCACCCGGCCCTGGGTGGCGATGGCGTCCAGGTGGGGTCCCCTGGTGGGCCTGGCTCTGCGCTGCCTCTGGCTCCTGGGGGCGGTCCTTCTGATGGACGCGTCTGCGAGACCCGCCAACCACACATCCACTCGGGATAGAGCGGCCAACAGGGAGGAGAATGAGATCCTGCCCCCGGACCACCTGAACGGCGTGAAGCTGGAGATGGACGGGCACCTCAACCGGGACTTCCACCAGGAGGTCTTCCTGGGCAAAGACCTGGGGGGCTTCGACGAGGACACGGAGCCACGGCGGAGCCGGAGGAAGCTGATGGTCATCTTTTCCAAGTAGGCGTCGCCCGCGTGGGCCCATCCCAGCTCCGCGTGGTGGGGGGCGCTGGGCCCTGCGTTGGGACCTGCCGGGCTGGCAAGGCGTGCCCATGATCAGCGGCACTTCCAGCCTGCTGTTTGCACCAGGGCCTGTGCTGGCAGCCTGGAGCTGCTCCTCGAATGCCCTGGGTCCTCTGGGGCTGAGAGGCCAGAGTCAGCCTGTTTGGCCATCCCTAGGATAGCAGCAGGAGGCGCCCACCGGCACCGTGTGGTCAGCGTCCCCTATGCTGAGGGGCAGACGGGCGGCCTCTGCAGGCGGCAGCACCAGCTAGACAAGGCCTGGCTGAGGTGCAAGGGGCAGCCACGGGCAGCTGGAGAGCTGGTGCCTTGAGCACTGGGCTCCTCCTGGCACGCCCTCTACCCTGGGTGTCTGCAGTCCCTGCCACACGCGGGTGGGGAGTGTGTCATACGCAGACGTGGGGAGTGTGGGGTTGGCTTGTTTTGCTGGCCCGGTCAGGAGCAGAGCTGTGCTGCGCCTGTGGCCGTCCTGGGCTGTCACCGCCCCTGCCTTGCTGAGTCCCCAAGCCCCTCTTGTTGTCTCTGTGCCTAGTGCTGAGCTTTCTCCCCGACCACGTCCCCCAGTCTCGGGAGCCTGGTAAAGGGGCCCAAGATGGGTCAACCTGCCCAGTCACCCCCAGAACCAGGTCCTCTGGAGGAGCCGGGGTGCCCTGCGGGGTGGCCCTGGAACCCACACGCACTCAGTGCTGGCCTCACCCCTGGAGGATGCCTGGCCACAGAGCAGGGTCAGGAAATGCCCTCAAGTCCTCCAGGCCAGCTGAAGTGCCGGGCAGGGAGCCAGGGTGCAGGTGAGAGAACACCATGGGGTTTCTGGGGCCTGCAGGACACATGGAGGCAGCCCCGGCCTCACCGTTCTGCAGAGCCTGGTGCTCCAGGGCCAGTGTGCAGAGGGGCAGGTGGCAGAGCTGGTGAGCAAGGGGGTTGGTCAGGGCTGGGGCCCAGGAGAGCAGGTGCAGGTAGGGAAGGAGTGAGGGTTGGCCCGTGTCGGGGCCCTGCTGAGGGTGGGGAGGGGCCCGGCTGAGGGCTGGAGTGGGCCTGGCTGTGCCAGGGACCTGGGCTGAGGATCCAGGCTTTTGGGCGGAGCACAGGTGAGCTGGTGGGAGGGAGGCGTGGTGCCAGCCAGAGGACCTGGGCACTGGGCATGGCGTCCCTTTGCCCCTCTCCCCAGATGGCATGATTCAGGGTTCTCTGTGTGGCCTGTGTTTACTCAGTAGAGGCTGCTGGTGCTCCCCGGGTCTGTCAGCATCACCACCCATGAGCTCACAAAGGCCTGGCTCGGGTGTCACTGGGCGGGCGGGGGGGGGAGTGTCCCTGCCCACGCGGTGCTGGGAGTGGGCTGCCCGCCTGGCGAGGGGAGTCGAGGCATCTGCTCAGTACGTCTCCAGCAGGACCGGCGTTTCTTTTCGTTACCTGTAAGGAAATGCTGAGCCATCACGTTTGAGGAGGGGGGTGCGGGGAGTGGGAAAAGCAGTGGGTCTCCCTGACACGAGCACTGAGCAGTGACTTCACTCCTGAGCACGGGGTTCCCTTCTCGCCCTCTTTCTGTGCAGGCCCCGTACCGCCAGGACCTACGTTCACTCAGCCGTCCGGTCTCCTCTGCCTCCTCTGGGCAGGGACGGCATCTGAGACTCCCCCGTTTCTTTGTGGACGTAACAGTGCTGAGGAGGGCTGCACAGGAGGTTCTGGGGTGTCCCCCTTTGGGCTCGTGGGGTGTGTTTCTTCCTGACTGGACGGAGCTGAGGGATTTGGAAAGAACACCCAGAGGGGAGGTGCCCTGTCCTAGGGGGTCCCGGACACCACGTGGCACCCCTGGGGATGCTGACCTGGGTGACCTGAGCAGGGCATCTGTGGGCAGCTCCCTGAGGAGCTGTCTCTATCCGTGTCCCCGCCCCTCCCTCCCTAGCGCCCGGGACCGGGTCCCGGTGATGCCTCCTCCCGTGGGCCGAGTGTCACAGCCACGTGGACTCTGTGGTTTTCTGCTCCCTGTGCATTTACCTTTCAGTCTGGGCTCCATTTGTTTTTGTGTCTGTGTTTGCTTTGAGGTCTCGCTCTGTCGCCCAGGTTGGAGTGCAGTGGTGGGATCTCAGCTCACTGCAGTCTCCAGCTCCTGGGCTCAAGCGATTCTCCCGCCTCAGCCTCTTAAGTAGCTGGGATCACAGGTGCGCACCACCACACCCAGCCAACTTCTAAATTGTTTTGTAGAGGCAGGGTCTCGCTATGTTGCCCAGGTTGGCCTCGAATTCCTGGGCTCGAGTGACCCTCCCGCCTCAGCCTCCCACAGTGCTGAAACCACAGGGGTGGCCGCAGCGCCCAGCCCCTCGTGGGTTTGCGTCCTGTGGCGTGGACTTTGCTGCGTGCTTTGGGCCCAGCACTACTGATTGTGCTGCTTGTGCGGCGTCGGCTTTGGCTGTCGGGAGCTGTGGCTCTTGCATCTTTGGCTTTTGAGCTCACTTTGCCTCCCTGCTTCCTGGCACCGTGAGATGCTCCAGGCTGGCCTGCACCTGCCCCATGCACAGCAGCCGCCTTTCCAGCGAGCCCTGGCCCCTGGCCGGAGCTGGAAGCTGGGGTCTGGGTGCTGGGGGTCTTCCCCTTGCCCTCTCGGGGGCCAGAGCTCGGTACCATGAAGCTGACCTGGCCCAGGTCCCCGACCACACACGCCTGGCGAGGGGCCGGGGCACCCTCCTCTTGGGATGCCTCTGGCAAGTGCACCAGCCCAGCCCCGGAGACCCCTCCCCTCTCAGAGCTCCGCCTCCCAGCGCTGCTGCCCTGGGGATTGAGTTTCCAGCAGGTGAGCTCGAGCTTGGGAGGCATGTGACATAGAAGCTGAGCTCTGTGAGGCTGGGACCAAGTGGCCTCCTGGCCTGTGCTGGCCCCCTGTCTCCGTTCTGTGTCCTGGTTCCCCAAGTCTGTGGTTTCTTCCATCCTTGGACACAATGCCAAGTCCCCACATGGTCTTTCTCCTAAGTCTTGTAATTTTACACGTATATGAAGGAAGGATTTTGTTTTGTTTTGTTTTGAGTTGGGGTCTCGGTCGCCCAGGCTGCGCTGGCGCCATCACAGCTCACTGCGGCCTCCACGTCCCAGGTGCAGGCAGTCCTCCCACCTCAGCCTCGAGTAGCTGAGACCACAGGTCGCTGTCACTGCGCCTGGCCAGGTTTTGTAATTGCTTTTTGGAGAGATGAGGCCTCCCTGTGTCGCCCAGGTGGGTCTTGAACTGTTGGGCTCAAGTGGTCCGCCCGTCTCGGCCTCTCAGCCACGGCATCTGGCCTACCTGAAGCATCTAAAATAAAACGTGGGCCCGGCCCAGTGGCTCCACCTGTAATCCCAGCACTTTGGGAGGCCGAGGTGGGTGGAATCACTTGAGGTCAGGAGTTCAAGACCAGCCTGGCCAATGTGGTGACACCCCATTTAAACTAAAAATACAAAAATTAGCTGGGTGTGGCGGCGCACACCTATAATCCCAGCTACTTGGGAGGCTAAGGTGGGAGAATCCCTTAAACCGGGAGGCAGAGGTTGCCGTGAGCCGAGATTGTGCCACTGCACTCCAGCCCAGTGACAGAGTGAGACTCCGTTTCAGAGACAGAGAGGAGCCGTTGGAGAGAGGGATCTGGCAGTGATTCTGTACTGCTGTGACGGAGTGGGAGGGTCCCTGT